AGCACTTTGATTTTCCTTTACTTCTTGTCAGACACCAAATTCTTACAACAGTAGAATCGCATGTTAGTAATCAATATTAAGTATGTAAAATTGAAATGTAATGAAACGTTTCCTGGCTTATTTAAGCTCGAGAGTAAATGATAAGTTCTGTGTTTTCTGAGTCAAAATTTTAATCCATTCCCCATCAAACGTTCCTGGATACGCTCCTGTCTTCCGTTGATTTTCTTCTTGCTCGTCACATTTGTGTGACTAATTTGTTCCCAAATTTGATTGATTGTTTAATCTATTTATTTCTACGATGTTTCTCAGAGAATTGTTACAAAGAAGCCGACAGCCAACACCTTCCATTACTGTGCGCTTTCAACAGACGATTCGATCCAACAGTTCGGTCTGTGTTCGACAGAGTTCGAAAAGACGACATTGGCAACATTCAGGTCGTTAAGACAACCAGTCGGGACTCTCCCCTGCCATCAGAAGGTTTTCTAAGGATTTCCGGGGGAATCTTCCATGACTGCTGCGTTCATGACGTAGACGTCATATGCTGGATGCTGGGTGAAGCTCCTCATACAGTCTTCTGTCTCGCCCATGCCTTCCATGCGTACATCGGAGCCATGAATGATGTAGATACAATTGGAGTGGTCATGAAATTTCCAAGTGGCGCCATCGGTCAGATAGATCTGTCACGCCATGCTGTTTATGGCTATGATCAACGTGTTGAAGTGTTTGGATCTGGTGGAATGCTCACCAGCGACAATCAAAGCAGTCTCTGTGCCACCTATTTTCACGCCAGTGGGAGCACACAGAATCCCATCAAATTTTCCTTTCCACAACGATATTCCGAAGCTTATGAGTTAGAAATGAATCACTTTATCGACGTTATCAAACGCAAAGATGACTTGCTCATCTCCAAAGATGATGTGCTACGTTCATTCACCGTCGTGGAAGCTATTGAGAAGTCTTTCCAGACCGGACAACCAGTCAGTTTATGAAAAGAGATGATTGATAAGAAATGAAGTCTGATACCTTCATCAACACATTGCTGAGCACAAATATTCAAGTTGCCGAAGTTCGGTCAACATTTCGTGGAAGCTCACTGTAGCAACCACCTCTTGAAAGAAAACCAATTTAGAGTTTTAAGAAAGTGCCAGGGAAATTCTTATTGCTAGTCTTTGAAATGCTGTTCATCAATAATCTCTTTAGCCTAATTTAAATATCCAGATGGACTCCATACGTGCCAAACTTTTTGTTTGATTACTATTGTTTTTTTATTACAATTTAGCTTTTTATCATCCATTGGTATAGATAGCCTGCAGCAAACAAATATTTTTTCGACTTGATAATGACGTTTAGCCAACGTCGAAACGTCATTGTTTTTAGCAATCTTAAAATGTTTTTGAGAAATGTTTTATCACAATTTTTTGTAGTAAAATGCAGATTTGTTGGACATTGGATTAAATTTTGCCGAGAAATGCTTATGTCAATGTCAGTGGCCGAAAATTAAAACACGGAATCTTTAACAATTATACGTGCCCCGTTGGTTATGGTAATCTCATATTCGGTAAGCCTGAGTAGAATCATGAATTGTTGGAGTAAAAACAGAATAAACGATAAACACTCTGGTTACGCATCAGTTTATTAAGCCTCTCTACGCTCGTTTGGTGAGGATCATCGCTCTAGCGTGGCACGATATCCCCTCTATGAGACTCGAGCTTTATGGCTGTAGGGGAGGTGATTCAAAGGTTTATCATTTTCTATCTATTTTGGATGGAAGTATTGCTCCTTATACTTGAACGAGATGTTAATTCATTGAAGGGTTAGCTCACCCTTTTCAAACTTTTCCGGTCTTCATTTAACATCCTGCCCGTAAAGAGGGACTGTGAAGTACAATGTCCTGCCCTAGGACAAGCATTGACACTGCTGGGGCTAGAGCCCAGCCCTCTAGATTTAAAAATCTAGCGCGCCGACTACTGGTGCTAAGTTTCCCCCATCCCACTGAAGAACCTATTGAAAACGCTTAACTTTAAAAAAAATACAAACACATGAAGCTGACAGGCTTAAAAACCTCAAAACAAGCTCTCAAGTGGTTGTAGATGTGAGCAATTGGAAAGTGAGAGGAGATTTGGACAAAGGTCTGTGTATAAAGCACAATTTTAACCAATTCCGGCCTAAATTTAGCCGTTTGAAAACTTAAAATTTTTATGACCAAATTTACGGAGACACTATCAAAGATTTTTAAGAAATTATTTTGGTATAAGTTGTTATATACATTTTAGTCAATTGCAAGCTTGACCTCTTCACCGTGACTAGCAATGGCAAAAGAAAAATAGTTTATTCTGAGACGAAGAATAATAAAGTTGAATCGCTTACTTGCACTACATAAGAACCACATGCACAAACTTCTTACGATGCTGCTCAGATGAACAGCAGATCAAAAGTAACAAAACATGAACTCTGGCGTCTGACATAAACACCCACCCAAAAGAAAGTTGCCGGCTCAAAATACCGGTGTTTTACTGACACAGTTCTTACCATTATTTTTTTTTATTAATTTTGTTTCGTGAATAGGTTTTGTTCTCCCTCTGAGCCCTGTTTGCATGGAAAGTCTCGAAATGGAAACCAGAAAAATTCCAGACTCCGATATTACTGCTCCTCAGAGTTTAATGTCAGTTACGCGGCACATTAAGCAAGGTTTGTAACGTTTTACTGTATCAAATGTATTGCGATTTAGCAATTTTCTCAATCCATCGATGTTAGTAGCACTAGCAGAGTTGGTTATAACTATTCCCTTACCTAAAAACCGGGTAGTGAATAATCCAAGACTGGGTTAGACACCTTAAACCTGGGCAAGTCCTCTGCAATTTATATCAGATTATCTCCTATTTATGATATCTTGGGAAAATCTAGAGAAGAAAACCAAAGTCGGGAATTCGCCCTGGTGGATTGCCCATATCCTCCCTCTCCTTCCCGTGCCTGCAGTGCAGCCTCGTTTTGGTCCAAAACATCTAAACTAAACGCAAGGTAGTCCTTCAGACAGAGGCCTCGAATCGAGAGCAAAAAGTGTCGCCAAAAAACATTGTTTTGCCTTGGGAAAACGATAATAATGAAGCATACTGATCCTTGATTGTATACAGACACTGTTTTTTACTTTTGGCTCATAAGTTACCATCAGTAACACTTGTATCACGCATATCTAACAGGTTTTTGATGGCAATTCAGACCGATACACCGTCAAAAGTCACGCGTTAAACCCACCAATAACAGCTCGTTACATCCGTGTTCATACGATTACATTGTTTAGCTACATTGCAGTGAGGGTGGACTTCTACGGTTGTATTTCAGGTAAGAAGTGGTTCTGCCTTAGGTCATTCTCTGTTGGTACATTGACAACTTATGAATCTCTCCATCCTACCTCAGTTTGCAATTAGATGTTCTCAAAAGGTCATCATTTGTTGTTGGCTTCTTTCCTGCAAGGAATCAATGCAACGGTTAGATCAGTTACCAGGTGAAACTCACAACTGACGTAGAACATAGAAGTTCATGCGAAGGTTATTACTTGCATCATGAAAAAAACGCGGATGTGATATCTAATTATCTTAATGTTTATTGGTCGTGTGCATCTTAGTAACTTTGACTCGAAGTGAGTGAGTTGTGAACCTGTATGAAAAGATCTTCTTCCATAAGAATGCTCATGACATCACTAACCTAAGCTTGGAGAAGAACTTGGACTGAGTCTGTTCACTGGGCATTCTATCGAATACAAAGTTGTTGGATTCAGAAAAGAAACAAATGCTTTTGGCAAGGCTATCTATATTACGTTTTCTTATTTGTAACCCTTTCTAATTTTATTGATGTAGCCTCTCGGAAAGAACATCTCAATGGCCGTTTTCAGACTGCACATAGTGTGACGATCTAATTACAGAACATAAACACGAAAGTTCGGTTAAATCCAGTCTTTCTCTCTCCATTTGTTTTGACAAT